TGAAAAGGTCAAAACCTGTGTTTTGAAGTACTCAAAAGAATGAAGAAAATTCCCAACATTATCAATATACACAATTGTATTCTTTTTAAAAGAAAACCATAGCCATGAAGGATATTGCAACTTGCTTTATTCTAACGCCTAATATATTAAAGTACATAAAAAGATGTATAAATATTGTAAACAGTATATGATATAAATCTTTATCTTAAAAAAGTACCCCGGTATATACCATGCCTCAAAAAAGTAAGTTTTCCTATCCTTAAAGGGGACATGCTAGATAAAAATGTACCAATAAAGGTAATTCGTTTTCGTTTTTTTTCACGGTGCATTGGTCGCATATGATGGGTAAATAGACGGAGCTGTTGGCGGAAGATAGACCTGCCCTTGGGATGCCTTCTGACCTCCCTGGATATTTTCCGGTTGTTTTGTGGTCTGTATTGGTTCCAGGTTCATTGCAGACGTAGATTGATGTGGTGGATAACTTGCTTGTTGCGGTTCTGTGTCACCACCGCCATGCTGAATTTTCCAGAGTTCTGTAACCGCTTCCATTACCACGCATCCATTCCCATTTTCCTGGACTTGCATCAGGAAGGTTACCACGTCTTCTCCCAAGGTATCGTCAGCAAACATTTTCATATTTCTTTCCGATAGTGCTTGCTTTGTAGTTCCAAGTTCTGCTGTCATCAGATTTGCTTTTACAAACCTGCCAAATTTACAACATTTGTACATTAATAAGTGTGTTAGTTGAATATGACACAAGCAATGTCTGCTTATAATTACTCTCGCCATGAAATATTACATGCCTCTCTAAAGATTTGATAAAAATCAATTATTGTCAACCAAAACTTACCAAAGCCTGAAGAAAGGAAGCACAGCTCCAAAGAAGTACAGGAGACCGTCCGCCACAGTAGCGGCGACAGTGAACATCAGCCACCACCAAGCCACCGCCATCATCTGCTCTAGATAGGGGTTAAGTGGCAAGGTACACTGAACCAGATATTTCTGGGTATTTTGCAAATACACAATATCATATTCACAAAACGCATGTCGGGGGAAGGCTGGAGAATTCTGATATAGAGAGATATTGTTTCCCCGTATGTTTCCTAGGATCTGGGATCCAAAGCTGCTTTCTCTTTCCTGTTTCAGGAACGGATCCAAGAGACCAAGGTGTGTGGAAGCGCTCACAAAATATAGCAGTTTGATAAAACAATGAAAAAGAGTGAGTGATCCAAGGGAGAGAATATTTATTTTTCGGTCCTGTATCCATTTCTGTAAATAAATCGCCAGCCTTTTACCCATGAATTTGCTGCCATCTCCGGAGTTATATGTACAGACAGTGAAATGGATGCCTAATCTTTTCTCTCCAAATTTCCATACCATAAACGGTATTCGAAGAAATATTGCTTGTAATATTAGAATTAATGACACATATTGGTACAATGTTCGTTCTCCAGTATGGTCCTCGTCTTCATTTGCGATCAAAAATATTGTATCATTAGAAACACCACGTGGTTGTAGGGGCAGATCAGACAGTCTCATGAAATGCTTGGTTTCGTAACAGCGAGCCTTGGCGTAGTCTACGTTCTGCTCAGTAAAGGGGGCTGGGAAGTTACATTCGATTGGACTAACGAACAGGGGACCAAGAAATGCCAGAAGGCCTAAGATGAGGAACAGCAATGGCGTCCACTTTCCATTTAGTTTGTCCACCCAACTCTCTCGATACGAAGGAGAGCTAACTTTGGACATGACTGATCTGAAAAAAATGTACATTTGCATGTTGTAGTTTGCTTCTATACTTATTTTAAACAAAAATTAACTTAATATGAAGAGCAAAAATACCGCTTTAAGAAAAAAACATGTGAATAATGATGAAAATAAACGAAACTCTGATCTCTGAACTGTAAACTGAGCATAGATTATGCTCGAAGACACAAAAACAACTCAGTGAATACACTATTGCTTTAATCATTTTGCCAGTATATATGTTCTTCACTATGAACAATCAAATATCTATAGTTACGCCCAATCCCCTTTCAATAATTTTGCAATTACCGGTATATATAACGTATACAAAACAAAGCTTATCACTATGGTGTGTGACGACGTTTTCATTTGGCTTCAGCTTGTTAAGAATTTCATTCACATCCCATCTAAAACTGCTCCCAGTAGGCTGAAATTTACCAACATAATCGGTTTTTTTTTCTCAAAAGCATTTAACAAAGAACTTGTCTCCCATTAAAGGTTCTTGACCCACCTCTGATCTTGACTGTACATTGTGTGCGAAAGTAAAGTTCAAAGTTTTTTTTTATATTTTCCCTTTCGTTTTAGAAGTCCCTACAGATCTGAAAATATATTATATTAGGAAACTGTGATATGTGCGAACTGTGATAACATTGTTAACTACTTCTGATGTTTTAACAAACAACTGCATATAAACGCCCGATACGACCTTGAAAATATAAAATCTATGTCAGAATGCACTCGTGTGTAGAAGTTCGCAAAATTAAACGATGTTTAGGAAACCTGCTTTACTTCTCATTGTAACGACATTGGTACTTTTTGACAAATCTCACAGTATTAATTTTTTTGTTAAAATTTGTTATTTAAGGTCAGACGAGACGTTCCTCAAAATCTGTTTTGTATACTTTCGTAATGCATGAAAAATATTCAAAATTTTAATAACATTCTGATTTTTTAACCAGTTTCTAAACGTTTTTAAAAAATCCATACACTTAAAAATTTGAAATTGAATTTTTTTTTTCTTCCCGAAAGGATTATATAAGAAAAACTATCCCTGATATCTTGCAGAAATGCCTGGTAAGGTACCTCTGTTTTTGTGTGTAAACATGTTTAAGTAGCAATACTTTAATGACAAACTCTTACAAAAATTTGTCTATTATTAAGGAACGTCTCGTCTGTCCTTAAAGCGATGTGAGCTTCATTTCTGAAAATGTTATTTTGCCATGAAAAGACGTAATGAGCGATAGATTTGTATCTAAATTTAAAAATCATTAATATACTAAAATAAAGTATTAAATTGTTTCAAAATAAAGTATTAGATTTTTTCAGAATATTTCTTATATGAACAACAGAAGGTTACATAAATGTTCTTTTCTCTCTTCTTGAAATAGTTAATTGCATTTCTGCAATTAAGAATTCCGACATCAAAGTTGCAGCTCACATTGCTTTCAATAACTTAGGTTCTATAGTTGCATGATATAAATAATCAGATCAGAAGGAACGGGAATTTCGCAATACATGTATGCAGTATCGGTTCAGACAACGTTGAGATTCTGAAATTTTTGGTATTTTCGTCATTTTCATTAGTAAAACTATTCTTATTTAAAAGAAATGTTATCTTTTTGAATTATTTAAAAAGAAAGGGAAACATACTTTCTTTTGCTAAGGTATGTAGATATAATTTTGAACAGTCGTAAATTTACACTCAAACAGTAATGAACTCAATGTAAGGTATATAAACAAGAATGACTCACCAATCAGTTTCCACACGGCTGCCCTGTAGACTGGCCGAGTGCTCACATTGCGGGCTGGTTTATATAATACCAGAGGAGCGCCGAGCAGGATCTAATCACATAAAAACAAACATATACACAAGGGTTCTATTGAGAAATACAGTATCCCTCATTGCCATGTTGAAATTTCAATAATGCATGCATGTGTTTATGACAAATGAATGAACTTAAAACAAGTCAATCCCTTGACCAACACGTTACTGAAACAAGGATAACAATTAACACTGAACATTTCGGTCTGTTCTGCATGGCCTTGTCAACAAATACAGTCTAAACCCAGCATAATATTTTTTAAGATAACATATTTTTGTAACTAGAGAATATCTTAATATTTTTAAGCAAATAATAAAACTTAATATTCACATTTCCAATGTCTTTGTTAGAAGGATGCCATTATTGTATCTTTCATTATACGTATACTTGTCCCCCTCCGGAGAAATAGATGCTCTCATCTCTTTTGGAGTGCCGACACCTGTGGGGCTAAGTTCTAGGGTCAAGGACTCTCATCCGACAGAGTATATACGGGTCCCAACGTGGGCGCCAAATGTAATGGGGACATTAACATATGTGCCTCTGTTGGACCAGATCAAGCCAGTGCTCAATGAATTATATGTCAGATAAATCCTTTGTCTAAAATTTTGTTCTGTAGAATTTTTTCTTATTTTTCATTTGTTCAGAGGCAAATAATGGAAACTATTAAAGATAACATATTTAGCCTCAAAATAAAAAAAATGCAAAAGTTTCAGCTAGGATATGGTGTATTTCGTATATTTTTATTTTTTATTCAATTTGACAAAAACCACATGTGGCGCAAGTCATACATACAGTAAACAAATATAAAATATATAGTCAGACACAGATTTTCTCATATTACACGTGTCATTAGAAATTGTTCTTGTAAATTTAACATCTGCTGGATTAAGAATTTCATAAGATATACATGTATAATTAAAAAGTGTACAAAATTCACTTCTTAGTTGTATATAACATGTATAAAGAGAACATAAAAATAAAAAATAATACATTCATCTTCAACGAGATTTTACAATTGATTGTATGTATATACATGTAATTGTGTGTTTTTATCTGACTATAAATTTACTGATTAGTAATTATCAGAAAAAAAAGAAAAGAAAGAAAGAAAAAAGAAAAAGAAATTTAAAAAAAATTATAAAATAAATAAATAAATAAATACTAGTATGTGATCGAAAAGTGTTTTAAATTTTTTTTTTTCATTCTGGATAAACATGATAAATAAATAAATAACTAAAGAATGAATAAATAAATAAATAGATAAATAAATAAATAAATAAATAAATAAATAAATTCAACAAAAATATGAAATTACAGTTGTCGAGCGGTTATGACAAGGGGAGGGTTATGACAAGGGGAGGAGGGTCTGGATTCAGGAATAAAATGAATGTAGAACGAAATGCATAGATACCGGATTAACTTTAATCACATGATCACAAGATGGAGGATTTCCCTTGAGTGGACGAAAATTACTCGTGATTTAGAGTAAACAAAAACTAGAGGGAAATAATAGTTCCACTTGCGTTTTCATTGTTTAGAATAAGATAAATCCGTTAATGATATCATAGGTAGTTATGTAGCAGAGGGAAAAAAGTGTTCAGCTGAAACATTGGCAGGAATATTCCTCTACTTTAGTTTCCGAAAACGGAAGTTTGAAAGAAAGATAAAAAAGAATGGATGACCCGTTAGGAGCTCGTTCAGACTGTGTGGAGCTTGATGAATTGACAAGATGGAACTTAACACAGCTGCCAATGACGTCAGAGGAAGATAAAGATGCTGAAATATCCCCGTTTCCTTGGAATAATAATTTAAACTCCAAAATTATTCTGTGGTACGGTTCTTTTGTTCTTTTATATCTTGGTGCTGTTTTCAGTACAAATAAAAATCTGTTTCACTGACTTAACATTGAGTAATTTGAACATATTTGGTTTCTATTATCCATTTTACACACTTAAACATGCTAAATATATATTTTTGTTTGAAAAGATACAAAAATCAAAAAAATATTGGGCATTTTCATCAACCAGAAATACATTTGTAGGTGTGGTGATATTACTCGCCTTGTGGTGCATGGAATTGTTAACCTGACTAACGAAAGATTGGATGCCAAACTCCCAGAAACAGAAACTATTTATAGGAAAGGTGGACCCGATTTAGTGGCGGAAATAAGAAACAATGTCAGAAGTAGGTGCCAAGCAAAGGTAGCATCTTTATGTCACATGTGGTGAAAATCAAGTCTCTTGTGTCATAGGTCCAATCATGGAGCTTTTGAGATATGATAGTTTGCATATACTGCATTTATGAATTCATTATACAAAAGTACAGCTTTCATACATGTATGGATTGAGCATTTTATTAGTTTGTATCTTTAAAATTCTGTGAAGTTTATGTTTTCATATTGTGTTCTTTTCTTTCAACAATTTTAAATCTCTCACGGAGCATGGTTCAACATGATGTGTCTTGGATTATTATGCCCTATAAGCATTTTCAAAGTGAAAGAGAAATATTGTTATATCCTAGTTGAAAAAGTATTTTAAATTGTAAATGTAAGTATACAGTGGTATACTGTAATATAAATAAATGATTTATTTCAGTATGTAAGACAGGGGAGGCCAAGACTACCAAAGGACACAAACTGCCAGCGCGATTTGTGATCCACACGGTGGGACCCAGATATAACATCAAATACATCACCGCGGCCGAGAGTGCTCTGTTCAGCTGCTACAGGAGTGTTCTCAGGCAGGTCAGGTAAGACTGTGACACAAAACATAAAACATTACTCACAAGAATGAGGTTTATAGCTTTTTTTATCTCTTTCAACTGATTGGTGCCATAAGCTTTGGTAGAAAATCACAGTTTGTAGATTTTATCCATTTCATGTCTAAGTTTGTAAATTAATCTCCTACTAAAAATTTTGCTGAACTTCTCTCCATTTTTATACTAAGCAGAACTAAAGCTTTGGCCATTTTCTTTACATTATAGAGAGCACCAGATGAAATCTGTGGCCGTTCCCTGTCTTCACTCCATAAGACGAGGCTATCCTACAGAAGACGGGGCCCACATTGCCATAAGTAAGTCACGCTTAATGTAAGCAGGAAAAAGTAAAAGTTGTTGATTCACCTTCTATAAAAACTTGTATCCATAAATATCCTTTTGGCATTTCTGTTTACCACTAGGAACGATTCGGAGATTCCTGGAGAAATTTGGAGAGGATGTTGACACAGTGGTATTTGTTTGTAATGAGGACACATTGGTTTGTAACTTAATTATTTCATAAAGTTTTTAACCTTGTTTAGCTTATGAATTGAGCCATTCATCCTGATATTATCAATGGTCATTTTAAATAGGAAATTTAATTGTGTTTGATACTTTATGATTTTGAATTAAAGGGTACTTAGCAATCATTAGAATCATACCTGGTACATGTTTTTTCCTCCTCTACTTTTTAAAAATAGAATTGTGTTAACAGTATATAGATTTAATTTTATTGTAATTTACAGGATACTTACATGAAGGTCCTGCCGCTGTATTTCCCCCGCAGCTGTAAAGAGGAAGTGGAGGCAATTAAATGTCTACCGGAGGACATCGGTAATGAAGACGGGGAACCAATTATCCCAGAACGACAAATCAGAATAATGGACAAACCCATGCTGGCCTCCATCAGTGAGTTAATCTGAGTAATTATTCCAGAGAGAGAGAGAGAGACAGAGAGAGAGAGATGAGATCAGAATCATGGACAAACCCATGCTGGCCTCCATCAGTGAGTTAATCTGAGAGAGAGAGAGAGTTCAGTTATTTTTTATAATTTTGATTCGCTACTCTACTTTCACTTTGAAGGAAGCAGTCAGGGTCTGGAGGAACTAGAGGAGACAGTAGATTTAAACAAGGAGTTTGGAACATCAACAGTGGTGGAGGTGGGTCGCCATCCATTCGCTCAGATGCAGAGTGATCCTGATGAAGTGAAAATGTCTCACCTGACTGGTCACTCAACAGCAGAACAGAGGCGACTAGAAAATAAACGAAGGTTAGTACACAATCATACATGTAGTCATTACAAAGCAGAACAGAGGCAACTAGAAAACACACAAAGGTTGGTAAATTCAGCAAAATGTCTTTAAGAATTGGTATTTTATTTTTATAGTGAGAAGTAATTTTTAGGGATTTTAAAATGCTCTCTAGAAAGACTTATACAACTAAAATGAAATAAATCTTTTGTGATATTCAATTTTAGCAATCTCAGCAGCCTCGCTAATACATGTAATGCAAAATCCTCTCTAAAAATTCTTTTTAAACAGTATTTACATCTAAGTTTCTGAAGACAAGATTATTACTGTTCAGGTATGAGAGACTACTGAAGAGATCCAAGATGGATGACCTGACTGACATAGCAGCCTTGAAGTGTATCTACAGGTCAGGGGTGGACCGATTTGGCCGACCTGTCGTCATCCTAGTGGGGAAACATTTCCCAGCCAACTCAATAAATATGGAGAGGGTACGTGAAAAAAAAAATGTTTTGAAATTAAATTAATATTGTCAAAATTACAGATAATTCTAAAAAGTTAAAAGTACTGAGTCAGACATTTAAAAATTTCATTACACAGCTCTATCATTTAACCTTAAAATCATAATTTAACTTGCCAATGGTTTTGGATATCTTCCCCCTTATGTGTAATAATAATAACTTAAGACATACATATCGTGTAATTGTACACTTTCTGCTACAGCTGACATGGATTTTTTTTCCCTTTGTAGGCTTTACTGTACTTGATTCGTGTGATGGAACCTATCGTTGAGTCGGACTACGTCGTCGTATATTTCCACACTCAGACAACAGCTATCAATCATCCAGACATGTCGTTCCTAAAACAGATTTACTGTATCCTAGACAACAAGTAAGGGTCATGGATGCATCAAATTGAAAGTTTAGAAATGTGTGATGACATGCTTGTCACAATTTATTTTATTGATTTTGCCATAAGACCAAGTATTGTTTGGATTTAAGGCTATAAAATGTCCACTTTGAAGGAACATTATAAAAAAAAAAATTGGAACTGGATTGCAATGTGTTTTAAATAGTTTCGATATTTATATATATCAAATTTTCAAAAAATTTTTTTAAAACAATTTTTCTTACTGAAATTATAGTTAAATATATATGTTAGGTACGTTGTATGAATAAATCACTTTGCTTTTCATAGACATGTACGTATATCTTTATTTTTCATGTTAGGTACAGGAAAAATATGAAATCTTTTTACGTCATCCATCCCACTTGGTGGTCAAAGGTGAGCCCTTTCTTAAAGAATGTATTTAAAAAAGCGGAAATTATATAAACAATAATTGATAAATAACTTTTGATGCATACGTACATTTATTTTTAGCCTAGTTCAAAGTAGCTTTCGTATACTTCAGCATCATTTTTTTTAATGTAATGATCTCTAGCTGGGTTGTAAATAATCCCTTGTAACAAAACCGTCACAAATTATTTTGAAAAAGATAACTGACCTATTGTTTCATTCCATTTATAAAAGGACAATTCCAGTGCAAACAAATTCAGTTTCAGAAATTGATTTATATAATATAAATTTTGTTTTGCTTTTGATAGTTGGCGACTTGGTTTTTTACGACATTCACCGCGTCAGACATAAAGAATAAGGTGATCAGTATGCGGGGTATACAGTATTTGTACGGCACAATCTTCCCAGACCAGCTGGACATTCCACCATTTGTCATCAACTACGACATTGAGGTCAGTCTCTGTTATTTAATCAGTGATTTTTTAACCTTTAAAAAATATTTTGGTGGAGATGAAAGGAAGAGGTGAAAGAATCAACATTTTTTGTGCATTTCTGTAGAATATTTAGATGTTTAGGTAAGTAATGTCTAATCATAGTAGTGGAGTACACTTGCTGGTTTCTGTTGAAAGTGAACTACTGCTGACAAATTTTTCAAGATTCCAAATTCTTCACTCATCGGATGTGATGTATGGATTTCAGGTGAATGGTCCCCGCTATTACGAGCCTCCTAATGCAGATGAAGTTGAGGCTTTGTGATGAGAGATTAGAGTAGCTGCTGCCTTACACTATAGATGTTATAACAAGGTCACAGGATTTACAGAGACACTGGCCACTAAACATCAGCTCTCCAAAAAATTGACATATTCCTGATCTCTACTTCATACTACAAATCCTTAACACATTGCTATGGCAACTGATAAATACTCAGGATTGTTTGTTATTGAATGTGGTGCACATGTGTTTTGTTACTCTATGTTTTGTTCATTAAGTGTCCTTTGTAATTTAATAATGATTAATACTTGTTATTTGTTTAATTTTGATATGTATATATATGTAACTAATTTTGATTTTTTTTATCCAGAGAGAGAAAGAGAGACAGAGAGTGAAGATTTACAGTAAATTGCTTTAAATGATAAATTAACAAAACTATAATACAGAATAGATTTTCAAATCTAAAAATATACTTATTTCTGTATATGGTTTGTATGACATTCAGCCTTAAAAGTATATTTTTGTTTTTTGTTTTTTTGTAAAAATTATTTTTTTTTCTCATTTTGTGCTTCAATTAAGGAATGTTTTTAAGTTTTGTATGAGTTATTGGTGTGTGAATCACACAGACTTGTCACGTAGGCGTATTTCATGAAGCGCACTATATTTACATTTTACATGTTTGGAACACCGAAAATATATTCAATATTTGAATTTCTTGCTGCCCTATATTTTTATACTATAACTAACGTCGCTGTGACATCACGGTAACACATGTATTCCGTGTATATTTCTACGCGTGAGTATACACGAAAATGATTTTCAAATCAATTTCACAGTTAGCTTAGTGGAAAAACACAGCGAATGTAAATATTTAACTTTGAATTCAATTTACATTAATGCTTAAAGAAAGGCAAAAAGGGATTTTTTCCTCTCTTTTAGTGATACAAAAAATTTATTATACGGCAATCTACAAGAAAGCAGTTTGTCTACAATGTAAACTGGTACTCTGCCTACTTTATAAGAGTAATAGTCCCATGTCTTTTGATAAGGAACTTGTATTGATATTTCATCAAATCAATATAAGTTCTTGATTTCATAAATATGTAGCTAAACATATCAGATTTAGATGATATAAATAGTACATCGAATATGAATTAATCTCAGTTGTGCATAAATGTCCATTAAAAATCATTATCTTAAAATGCAGAAGGATATAAAGCTGCTGATTTTTATTAGCTCTACTGGTCAGAGACCAGAAGAGCTTATGCGATAGTAAGGTGTCCGTCGTCCGTCCGTCTGTCTAGCTGTCTGTCTGTCCGTCTGTCTGTAAACAATTTTTTAAAACGCTACTCCTCCTAAAGTTTTAGTCTGATTTCAATATAACTTGGCACACAAGTAGACTACACTAAGATACATAAAATAGTGCATGGGTTTTTGATTTTGATGAGCGGTGTTGCCATTGTTACTAAAAATAGAAATGTCTGTGAAATTTCTTTAAAATGCTACTCTTCCTACAATTTTGGTTTGATTTCAATATAACTTTGCATACAAGTAGACTACATAAGATACATATAATAATGCATGGGTTTTTGATTTTGATGAACAGTGTTGCCATGGTTACTAAAAATAGAATTTTCTGTGAAATTCCTTTAAAACGCTACTCTTCCTACAATTTTGGTCTGATTTCAATATAACTTTGCATACAAGTAGTCTACACTAAGATACATAAAATAGTGCATGGGTTTTTGATTTCGATGAATGGTGTTGCCATTGTTACTAAAAATAGAATTTTCTGTGAAATTCCTTTAAATTGCTACTCTTCCTATAATTTTGGTTTGATTTCAATATAACTTTGCACACAAGTAGACTACACTAAGATACATAGAATAGTGCATAGGTTTTTGATTGTGATGAACAGTGTTGCCATGGTTACTGAAAATAGAATTTACTGTGAAATTCCTTTAAATCACTACTCTTCCTACAATTTTGGTCTGATTTCAATATAACTTTGCATACAAGTACATGTAGACTACACTAAGATACATAAAATAGACTTAAATAGTGCATGGGTTTTTGATGTTGATGAACAGTGTTTCCATTGTTACTAAAAATAGAAATGTCTGTTAAATTCCTTTAAAACACAACTCCTCCTACAATTTTGGTCTGATTTTAATGTAACTTTGCACACAAGTAGACTACACTAAGATACAAAAATAGTGCATGGGTTTTTTGATTTCGATGAACAGGGTTGCCATTGTTACTAAAAATAGACATGTCTGTGAAATTCCTTTAAAACACTATTCCTTCTACAGTTTTGGTCTAATGGCAATGGCTTCTTTTGTCATCATTTGTTATAAGTACAAACCAGTAGAGCTACAATATCGACAGAGACTTCTGGTGTTAATATACAGGATGAGTCTGATCATGTGCAGGATGTATACATGTGTATACATCTCGCAGATAGACAAGATTGTGCTTTTTGAAATATGAACTAAAATGATGAAAAATTGTAAGAGAATAAAAAAAGTTTAATATTTAGATATTTTATTACTTTTTTCTGACCTTTGTATATTATATAACTCACAGTCTTCTTTTAGCAAGGATAACATCAGTTTGTTGTTTATTTGAGATCGATGATCTTCATTATCTTGAACAACTTTTTTTGTGTTTGAACAGCTGCATTGTTCAAGCTTGGAGCCAAATAATCTAAATGTTTTAAATTATTTTTCCCACAACTGAAACAAAAGCAACTTTATAAAAACAATTAACTGGGTGACAGACACGAACATGTTTTTAGCAGACAGGTCTTTTTTTTTTGGCTTTTAAAGAAAATATAAGCTTCATGCATTATCATGTAATGAATATGTGTTGAAGCATGGCGTCAGACCTTTACTATTTGTTTAATTTTAATTTCAAGTTATTCACTCAAACCAATTAATGGTACATGAGATTCTTTGTACAAATATAATACATGTATATACAAAAACAATATATAAGATACACATGAAATGGACAAAGATTAAAAATCAAATCTGTTTAGGTTGTAATTAGCTCTTTTAATTAACTTTAATTAATGCTCAAATATTAGCATCATTTCTAGATCTTTGTAAAAGATTTTCATGTGCTAGCAAGTACTTACATGCTATAAATATGCTATGTCTACAACATTTCCTATTTATTTTAGCTCACAATGTGAATAATTGTAGTATGTCTTTTAATATTTAAGAAGCATGAATAAAAATGTACATTTCTGTTGACAAAAGAAATATGCTGATATGAAATACTATAATAGAATTGATTAATACATCTGATGTCCCTTCTTTATACCATTAGTCAATGTAGCACATAAGAAGATATTTAAACAGTGTATGATGCACAGTGCTGGGTTTGTGTCTTCCCTGACATTATGTTTATCATCAACATCATCTAGTTTGACTTGGATGTAGAGGTTTTTGCTCACACTCCTTGATTTTTGAGCGTCAGTAAATCTAGAACTTATCAAATAAAAAACAAAATACATCCTTTTACTAACAATTAGAACACAGTAGCAAGAGTTGCATGATCTAGGTACGACAAAATTCTAAATGAGTCAAGATACTGGCAAAAAGTTGAAACAAGAATATGAATACTAGTAGTCCCGTCTGAGTCCTCATTTCACAAGTTCTTTGTCGATAAAATGACATTGTCAGCTATTGGAATCCGTCATCAAGTCTCTTGCTGACCAACATTTTTCATATCAATTGTTACGCCATCATGAACACATTTTCCTGCTTTTTTTTATCCTGACAAGGAGCACAAGGTAGGAGTAATCATTCGCTACGGAATGCTCACTCCTCCATGGCATCTGAACCCACTTCTGTTGTACTTGGAGGTCTGTTTATGCTCTGCTATTGATTTGTATTGTTTGAATCTACTTATTAGCTTGAATAAAGTTTTGGTTATCTCCATAGTTCATGGTAAATAAGTTTCAAACATGAAAACTGTTTTGTAATATCTTCCCGTATATTTTCTTTATCAAGTCAATGCTAAAACATTTTTTGGTACCCATATGTATTGCAAAGCAAGTCAAATTGCTGATGACATTTACCAATCGTTAACATCACAAATAGGCAAATGGCAAAGCAATTCTTATCCTTTTCTTCGCTCTGTTTACGGAATGGATACCGTGCAGACTGTCTTTGAAATTCAGGGGCAGATATTTGTATAGACTCCTTGAGAAATTTTTGTTTTCAAATTCCATGCAAGAACCACAAGAGCGTTTTCCTAATACGTCACAGAAATGACGTCTTTCCTTCGCCATTCTAGATGATTTTGAACACTCGGGACTCTTGTTATTGCGATGAAGGTATTGTTTTGTAAACATTTTAGTGACGTACAGTTTCCTACAATCTGTACAGTCCAATTGTTTGGCGTACACACTTGGTATGAAGACTTCGTCTCTCTCAAACTTGGTTAAACTTGGTAGCTTGTCTCTCAGAATATATCTCTTTTCCCGTAACTTATCCACGTCCATTGTATGGATGTAGTTAGTTCTCCGACTGGTCAGAGGAGGAAGGACGACCGAGTTCTGGGTTCTGGACAAATGTCTGTAGATTCCAAAATGCCTGTTAAGGTCATTTATGTTTGGTTTCAACGATGCATCCTCGATACACTCACTATGTGGTGACGATCGAGAGATCACAAAGATCCCTTGTTGTTTCACCCTTGATTTAGTGTAGGGACCAGACATAAATGGTAAATAGTCCTTACTTCTCACTGTTCCTGTGAATTTCTTCATTTGTGCCTCCCTGCATTGACCGACTAAGTTTGGTATTTCGATGATATAACAAGCTCTATGAAAGAGATTTATCTTTTAAACACACAGTTCCGACGATGACTTTTATCATCCATACAGGTCTCAAAAAGTTAAACTTTTTATCACTTAAAACCCGTTTATCTATAAATGAGAGATAAAGAAAACAGACCATTGAAAACGAGTTTAATTAAAGTCAGAGGGATCGATAAAAGAGAACAAAGCTACAGTAAGGGTATACACAGTAAATCACTGCATTAAGAGTTATTTATTTATAACCAGTATTCAATATAAGTTCAGGACACTGCTGGATATGATAGGAGAATGTTAATCCAACAATACCAGTATTGTCAGCGTCTTTAAACTTTTATGACTTCAGCAGACAGCGGGAGCATGTTCAACATTATAATGTAAAAAAACAGATCGATTCAATATACATTTTAAAAGGATTTTGTCTGTATAAACAGATTTGTACATCCTAAGTAGAGGACAATGTATGTATGTATATAAAGAATCCTGAAAAAAATTTCCTTATCTATTTAAAAATAAAACATTATTTTCATTATGTATGGTATTACACATAGTCTATAAAACATATAGTATTGGCATAATATTTCTGCAAGGCCTTGTACAGATCATTACTCCCTCAGCTATTTTTGCATTTTTAAAGTTGATGAAAAAGAAATTAATTGAAACTGAGGAGATATGTTTTTAAAATTTATTTTATTTTACAGAGGTCTGTATTGACTGATTAAATCATTACTGATTATGAGTGCAACATTTGTCCTTGAATATCGAAACTTATTTTATCTTAATTTCATTAGACATATGTTCATATTGAAGATAAACTTACTTAAGCTTTCCTAACAAATCTATTAAGAAGATAAGTAAACCGAATAAAATATTTTATTAACCTCAATGAATGCCTTATTTTAAAACACTTTACGAGTTTAATTCACTTTGTAAACCTAACTGGTAACTAACGTTTTGCTTCGCGGAATAGATCTGTATGCGTTAAATCAATATGGTTCATTTATCATTCATTATCGGCATGTTTGAAGAATTCTTGTATTTGTCATTATATAGACTTTTAAATTTATTTCGAGAGTGTGTGTCACTTTTTAGTAAGTAATATTAATCAAAAGAAATCAAAAGAAAAAAAAATGAAGAAAAAAAATATTGTTATTACTTTAAGGAACGAAATGACGTTATCTTGAATGAATAGGAATAGTGAAGAGTAAATTCAAGGATTTAAATAAGGACATGTTTATACCTCCGACGGACATAATGTTAAGAAGCTTTTCTAGTTGAAAGTGTAGTGTTAAATGATAAAAACTCATAAAATAACGGTTGTTTTTAAAGTTTAAATTCAAAGAAATGTATTTGAAAGACAAAACATTTCATTAAAAAATGTAATTAGAGTCCCATATAAATAAATACATGCGTTACAAAATAAATTCTAAAAGCAGACACATTTTATCAATCTGCATACTAGTATCTGAATCTCGTGAAGTTAAACATACTGGTAATTAAAAGTGGAATAGAATTAACTAGTAAACAATAACACTTAGTTAATTTTTTGCTAAGGAAAATGTATTGTAAAAATTTCAAAGATATTGCTAATTTAAATAAACAACACTTCCTGAAAAAACGCTCCTTTTTATTACATAATTGTAGAAAGCAGATATAAAAATGTGAGGTCTCCACTAAAAGTAAAAAAGCTCTTCCAACAATCTCATGAGCCGTTGTAGGCAGGACTATTTCTATCATATGAAGCAGGATATTGTTCAAAATCTTGTACGAAAAGAAAACACTCGCTGTGACCTTTAATTTGACATTTCGAAACATCAATGAGGTATTGTCAATTAACATTGGTTATTTCTATTTTTATTTTGATACGATATATACATATATCCCAGTGAACTTATAATAATATGCCATAGAATCTGACACATCTGTTTCATATTTGGATATTTTACTTGAAAAAGACATTAATTGATGGTAATCTAACAACCAAGCTCTATGAAAAACATGATGACTTAACTTTTTTATCGTCAACTTCCCTTACTTGTGCAGCAATATACATTCATCACCTGTATACAGAGTTTGTATCTCTCAGTTGATTCGATACGCTAGAGCAGTCTCTACGTATGAACAATTTCTAATTAATTAATGACAATTAAACAAGTTGGTGAAGCAAGAATATCATGTTCTCCTGAATATCTCCTCAGAACTCACATCACTCTCAGTTAAAGTCATCATTTCGTAAGTTCTATGACCGATACACCGACCTTGTCAGCAAATACAGTTTATCATAGAGTCAAATGCTGACTGACGTTTTTCATATCAATTGTTAGTCCATTTTTACACACTAAATTGACGACTGATTTTTCAGTTATTACCTGATCATGACAAGGAGCACACAGCGGTTGTGACAGGCTGAAAAGGGGATGCTCACTTCTCCATAGCTCCTGATCCAATCCCTGTTTTGAGGTCCGTGTTTGCTCTGTTTCTATTTTGTATTGTTTCGTGGACTTTTGAGCTTGAATACTGTTTGTAACCTCCATATATTTTATGTACAAAAAAATTCCAAAAGTAACTGAGAAAGCATTCTCTACGAATACTAAGCAAAATGATTGCTTCGCGGCGATAAATATTCGTGAGTAAAAGTTGGTCGCGGAACTCGCGGATATTTCTCGCACGCGAATAAAAGTTGGTTTACAGGACTCCGCCAATGACTGACAATATATCTATATTTGTTTTTGAATTAAATTAATAAACAATAAGCTTCAATCTATATATCCTTAAGGTCACACGCGATGTAGTTTGAACTTTATTGGATTCTTCCCTGGAGTTGAAGAGTTCCACTAAATGAAAGACCTGTGTGAATACTTTTAATGTTCATATATGGATTTGTACATCTCTTCTAAAACAATTTTTGATTTAAAAAATCTGGAATTTATGTTTTGTAATTTTTGTACAATTTTCTTTGAATAATGCAAAAATTTTCACAATTTGATATCTTTTCAAAAGGCCTGGTAACGCATGCTGAGCTTTTGTCTTAGGACATGTAATGGTATTGTAAGGTTAAATTCAGAATATCTTAAAAAATTATCAGTAGGTGAGGTACGTTGCGTATGTCCTTAAATAATGAACATGTATATATTATACTATCGAAAATAAAAAAAAAATGAACGTACTATATAGTATAACATATAGTAAATGAGTTTTCTTAATATATTATAATTTCTAACTACTAGGGTCATTATCAGTAAACAAAAGGGAACAATACACTAATATAAACTCTATCATTAAGTATACTGTTGTTAGTTTATATCGGTGATTGTGAGTACAGAGTCCGTGTATACAAGATAATGAGGATCACTCACTATGTACTGTATACAGCTGACTCTGACGGCCTTAGTACTGACTGTAGGAATCAATACTGTACGGATTCTTAAACCAGAGTGGCCAGAACACTATAAAGTAAGGTCATTTCATTTATTTCTTTTTTGCCCGGAAATTATTATTCAATTCTGCAAAATTTACAGCGAAAAAAGGACAAAATCATACTACATAACCATGTGTTTTTATAAGTCTAATATATAGAAATAAAAATAGTTTTCTTTCTTCATTTAACATGATTTAGCATTTATTAACATGATTAAGGAATTTTTAAAACATTTTTTGACTATATATCCGTGGTTACCATATAACACGTATAATTTAAGAGTACTTACTATATTTACTGTTACAGACATTGATGTTTTGGTGTTTTTCTTTTTTTAAAAAGGCATGTGTTCGACTTCAAACCGATCGAGAATTTGTGACAGTTGGATGGTATGTGGATACAGAGGGTCAGCGCATGCGTCTAGATAGTTATGGCATACCAAAAGGTATACAGAGATATAAAAAAAATGGTTTTGTGATTTCTTATTCATTACTGCCATGGCAAATAAAATCCCTATAAATGTAAAAATCACATATTTTTGTGGGGTTAAATTTTCGAGGTTTGAAAAAAAAATGATTTGTGGGGATTTGATTTCGTATTTATAAAATGTTTAGTAGTAATGCATATGAATTTTACATTTCGTGGTGGTTATAAAGAAGTCTGTTCACTTTATGCATAAAATGGCCCTTTAAATATACCAATTAATTGATCAACACTTGATTTTCTATTTGAAGCATTAAAATAAATTAGAGACTCTGGGCCTTCATATCATATTAAAATTTTTTTTTCTAAAAGTCCAGGTCTAGGAGAACTGGCTTTATGAAAGTGCAATGTTCTTGAATTTTTAGGTAAACAGGTATAATTGAGTACTTTCAATGAAGAAAAATAATATGAGCGCACTCTCTGATATAAAAAATAAAATATGTCCATTAATCCTCAGAAACAGTTCTATCAATTACTTGTTACATATTTTAGATCAGAGGTTGCGCTCTATATTAAATATAAAAAATAGCTTTAAAAATTGGCCGTTTTTGTAGACTTTTTCAGAATTTGAGGAAATTGGCGCATTTCTTGACGTCATAATGCATTGACTAGCCAGAAAATGACGTCATTTTTTATAGATACGCAGTCACTAAAGATCTAAGTGATATTTAATGCATTGTTAGCTAAAACTATGCAGTTTCAGTTTTTCAGAAATTCACAGGGCCAAATAAGGCAAAAGTGAACCTTATTCTTTGTTGGTCTCTCCATACCCCGAATGCAACGAAAATTTACCTCCCTCGAAAATTAGTGATTTTACAGTACTTTATATTCTGCATTTTGTATTTTCTAGAAAATATGTACACCCACGAAAGTGGGGATCGCCTGTCGTTTGAGTACGCCTGTGAACCTATAGGGGAGCCCTTGTATGTCTATATCTACCACTTTGGAATCGGCAAACAGATTAATCTGATGCCGTCACCGACTCCTCCATACAAACAGTGCACCGTCTAGTAAGGCTTACTTTTATTACTGCTTTAATTTTACAGCATACATTAATTTGGTATTCATATGCCATGAATGCACCAATTATGCACGGCATCACACTTTAATTGTTGTATTTTGTTTGTAGTAACATTACCAACTCGTTCCCTCCAAGTCCCTTACTTCCCCATGTTAATTTCATAGAGAGAGCACGTGACAATGTGACTGTGTACGACCATTGGCGCTCCGAGTACTTCCTGTTTACAATGGACTACTTCTTTCACGTGGTCAATGGTCTTCCGTATAAGTGAGTCTGAAATTAATGTCGTTTATAATAAATATACATTTTTATTTTGACAGTTTTATAATTGATCTTTGAAATCATTTAGACATTCATAAATATTGGCATAATCAAAAGGACTTTACAGGTTATCTCAAGTTTTCTATATAAAATGAAATGAAGTAATTGTTCTAAGCAATACAAATGAATTGAACCAAAACATTCTTTAATAATTGACAAAAAGGCCTGTTGGCAGATAATTTCGAACAAAGACTTTTAAGGTTCTCTGTTTTGTAGGATGTTCGTGAACGCCGAAGCTAACGAGTTTTTATCTTTTGAGGTGGGGGAACAACAAGACGACGTTTTTCTACCTCCAAAAAACGTTCCATGTTACTATGGGACTGGTTCTAAATGAAAAAAAAAAATTTTGTCAAATAAAAGTATATGGAATAAAATCTGACTTAGCTTAATGATTGAGAGTAACAGTGTAGTTTGTTATACAAAGTACATGCCATTAAGTTTAATTGTTAAACTACTGTCGTAAGATGACAAAAGGTATAGTTTACTGTTTGATTATAAAAATTGGTCATAAAGAGCAAACACGGACCTTCAAAACATCAGAGATGGAATCAGGTGCCATGGAGGAGTGAGCATCCCCTGCCGACCGGTCACACCCAACGTGTGCTATTTGTCATGATCGGCAAATAACGCAAAAATCCGTCGTCAATTCAGTGTAAAAATAATGGACTAGAAATTAGTATGAAAAATGTTAGTCAGCATATGACTCGATGATAAATTGAATGTGCTGACAAGGTCAATTTATCGACTATAAAACTTACAAAATAATGATTTTATACAAAACTGCTGATATTCATGTTTCATCAACTTGTTTGAAAATAATTTACCCCTTAGTGGACTTTTACGAGGAGCGCTGACTTTTACAGTTGACGCTTACTTTCACACTAGGGCTATGTACGGTAGCTCCTTTACGATATAAATATTTAGCTCAACATTGAATTAAACGGAAATAACGGTTTATTTCAATGCACACATAAGTTGTCCTTGAAGAAAATGACGACGGCCTTACCCTCAGCTCCCGGTTTTTTACATGTTAGTGCCCTTAACACCATACCTACGACCACAAGAAAGGTTTTCTTATGTATTATCAATTCTGTACTTCCGTAAATGTTACAAGTTTAAATGTCCAAGTAAATGTCAACTGTAAAAGTCAGTGCTTCTCGTAAAAGTCCATTACAAATTGTTCATATGGAGAGCATGCTCTTGCGTATCGAATCAAGTGAGATATATAAAGTCCATATGCAGGTGATGAAGATATATTGCTGCATATGTAAGGGAATTTGACGATTGAAAAGTTAAAGTAACAACGTGTATTATAGAGCTTGGTTGATAGATTACCATCTTTTTCAAGTAAGATATCCAAGTATGAAAAAGATGTGTCAGACTCTGTGGTATCTTTTACCTCATGCTCAACGGGATATATCTTATCAAAGTAAGAATGGAAATAACCATTGTTTATTGACAATACGTCGTCGATACATGTATATCTAAATGTCGAGTTGAAAGGCATTGCAAGTGTTTTCTTCTTTTCACGTATTAGATTTTGGACCAAAATTTTGCTTTATATGAATACAACAATAGCTCTGCTAATAACTGGGCGCAGTTAGTACCCATGGGAATTCCAAGAGATTGTTGGAAGAGCTGGTCTCCAAAAACCACATTGATTTGCATATATTGTCAATCAGATACTCAAGCATTATTTTTTGAGCTTTGAATACGTTATAAACACGATATGCAGGTGAGATGGTTGTTTAATGAAAGTCACTATTTTTCCTTTCATCGCGTAAAAAAACTCTCTTTGGAGAGTGATACTTTTCTTTTTATATTGTACTTTTGCGTCATCATATATACAGTGGCCTTATTTCCTATTTCGTCATATTAGCTTTAAAAGTTGTATCGACATTCCATGTTGTTTCCTACATATGCCATATTTGTGTGACATCAAAAGTTCTACTGACATTCCATTTCATTGAAGAATAAACATTTCAGTTTGCTTCTTGTTTAGTTTAAATACATTTGTTCTCCTAATATATAGTCGTGCATTATGTTAACAGTAGTGGAAGAAAACATCTTCTTGTACATGAATTAATACGTTCAGAAGAAACATCTCACTGACGTAGAAAAACTGATATGTCTTGTTAAACACCCCTCTTATGAAACCCTCTGAAAGATATAGACCTTTAAATACTTCCTAATATTTAATTAAATCCTTGAATGATAGACATGATCTTCATGACCTCCTAAGGGATCTCGATTGTCCGAAAGCCTGACGTTTTAAAATACAGTTTCGAGATGACAAAGTTCACGGCCCGACACAGGTTAATATGCAAACAAAACCAATAGATTACCTTAATCGAGCCAAATCAAATTTAAATCAATTATTGACTTATCGCATGCATACATCGTTTATATTTTCAAGCTGTAAATATTACACAGAATAGGATAACTGATTCGCCAATATATGCTTTAGCTTAAAATCTCTCAGAGGTGCACATAGAAATTTCTTGTGATTAGAAGAACTTGAATTATTTGCACAACGAGAAATAATGATTCAGACAATTTCAAATTGATTTGCTGTAAGTATTAATTTTGTCAGACTTAGTTCGCAACCGGTATCTTCAATGATCACCACAGGAATTATGTGTTACATAAGTAGATGAATTTAATGCCGACATTTTACAGTCAGGTAAGTAAGTAAAAGTTCTGCTGTTTTGAACAAAAAATGACTAAAATGTCTTAAGTCTTTATTAGATTTATTGCATCCCACAGATTTTGATTGATTTCAGATTTTATTATATTGGTAAACACTTTATATTGTCCTCTACTTTGATTTATCATTACACCAAACTAAAGCACCAGGAATAATTGTGATTAGATAGATTGATCCCTCCTTCTAATTACTGAATAATTTCATTATTTTTATTAAAAGTTGCATCAATCTATCTATTCTACATAGAAGATTATTGTTTTCATTTACGTCATATCTTCAATATAAAATACAAATCTAACAAATGTAACAGAATAATATTACGAAATATTATATGCAATTATATGATCTTAAATTTATAAACATTTCGTATTTAAGAATATTATTATAATTATGTCTTTGATATGATATTGATAAAAGTGCACTAAAACGCAATCACTATCTAGCGGTAGCTTATACACACAGTTATCTTTTCATGTTCTGATAAATAAAAGGCATCTACAAAATAATTCTAAAAGTGCTGATTTTTTTTCTTAATTAAAATTCGATACGATAGAGTTTGACCAATGAGACTCTAGAAGATATCGATCTTGTCGGGACTTCAGTGGTTAAACACTACAGTTTATACTGACGAAATATTTCAGTGTTTATACAATAATTAAACGGAGAGAACATAACAAATGATGTGTACTGGACGTAGAGCAAACTGGTCCCCCCCATATACAAAGAAAGCGGACAGCTGAGTAAACTATCCCTATGCGATCAATATAAAAATATTATTTAGTTATTGATCACAATTTAAATTTTATAACCTGGCTCTTTGAAATAATTTCCCAGCTGCCCTTTTCAGATTTTTTCCAAAAAGTATAGTCATATTTATGCATTTTCCCCCCATATTTTACTATTTTCTCTGCCTAGATTTTCTTTACCAATATATAATTACAAATTTTTAATACCCAGAAACTACCTCTTTTTTTTCAAACCAAAAGTAAAAATAAATGTCCACCTGATCCCATCTGTGAGGTTTCCAGGGGTCCGTTTTGATGTCCTCTTTACATGCTGTATTATTTTAATGGAATCTATCACTGTTAATATATCTTAAAGTTTACATATATATCATGTGCAAGATATTAATAAATTTCTGCTGCATGATGATTAAACTGTGATTGCGTGGATTTTTTTTAATCAATGTCTGTTCACATCTTTAAAATTAAGTCAATTTCTTATAAATTACAGATCCCTTTTGTTATCAATCCAGTCATGAAATTAGAAGATTTCCTAGGCTTTTGTTTGTTGATATGATAAATCATGTCCAGAAAACAGTACAACATATATTATTACCAAAGAAAAAACGCGTTTGCCACCTATTGCATTCGGTGTATCATATGTTCTATATGACAGACACAATTTACAAAGTCAAAGTTATATAATAAAATTTTGCTGCATATTGATCAAGCTGTGACTGTAGAATTTTTCGTTGAACTAATGTTTATTCACATCTGTTAAATTAAGTCAATATTTAAAAAAAATCATAACCTCTTTGTTTTTTTTTTATTTAAGATGAATCCAGTCATGAAATTAGAAGATTTCCGAGGCTGCTGTTTACTGATATGATAAATCATGTCCAGAAACAGTAGAACATATATTATTACCAAAGACAGGACGCGTTTGCCACCTATTGCATTCGGTGTATCATCCGTTCTATATGACAGACACAACTTACAAAGTCATCCACAAGAGTCCCCAAGGTCATCAAGATTCCAAGGTCACTCGCAATCGTCTCCAAGAAAAACAAAAAGTTCTCCAGACTATCTCCTGAATAATACCATACCAACCGCTCAAAATGGACGGCGTTATAAAACCTGGAATGTAAGTGGTTCAAATGAGGAAATGAATCAAATAATTAGTCAAAATACTCCAGATAGAAAAGAGAGTGGAATGTATGATCCTACATCCAATGATATTTACAAACTTCTGTCTAATGAAGAACATTCTGATCTACTGCCCCCACTGAAAAGTCAAAGGTCGGGCAACTTCACGCTGTTTGACCAAGACAAGTTACGAGAGAAGAGATACGTTCAAGAAGATATACAAAAGCAACATATCATATCAAAGTTTGAGAGAGACGAAGTATTTATACCGAGTGTTTATGCCAACCATTTTGCTTGTAGGGAATGTAGGACAGCTTATGTTTCCAAAATGTTTACAAAACAATATCTACTTCATAATGACAGAAACCCAAAGTGTTCAAAAGTATCAAACGTAGAAAAAGAAAGACGCCATTTTTGTGACGTATTGGGAAAGCGATTCTGTGCTTCCTGTATGGAAAAAGAAAATAAAAAGTTCTCAAAATCTCTTCACAGACACCTGCCACAGAAACTGACAGACTACACACACGAGAGTCACACGAGAGGGAAACCAAAAAAAGTGATTGGCATTGATCTCAGATTCGCTTCACAATGATATACATGTGTAAACATCAACATTACATCACATAGCATTCATTACATAAATGATACAAGTTGCCATAGGTAATGAAGGAGGTATGAAATAAATAAAATATAGGTTGTAAGTCTCTATAAGGCACTCATATGAAGGAGGTCGATAAAGCTTACGCGGACTGAATAGTTCTCATCTTAATTTTTTTGGTCTG